GTGGTGGGTTTTATACTTTGTCGGGGGCTTACTATTGCAAGAGCTTTTTTCAAATATTGAGTAAGATTTGTGTAAAAGACATCTGCCGCACGCTGGGGGTCTTCTGTTAAAAAAAACGCATCCCAAACTTATCGGCGGATGAAGATAAGAATGTCATGTTACTTGATGGGATGAAAGAGTGGGAAGTGCATGAGTTTTTGATGTGCTGGGAATGGGACCTTGAGTTTGCATGAGACTACTCTATGGCCACTGCCCGAAAAGTGGTCCAGGACCAGGGTGGAGACCCCAGGGTGTCCAATGGTAAAAACTAAGTCCAACAAGTGATCACCTCTTTTTGGGGTGTTGTTGAATCCATTTGCCTATCCTTTCACTGGATAGGACGTCATGAAGGGCACTTGGCGCCGTAAGAGTGGTCCAGTTTATGTTCAGGAGGTTAAAGTCTCCTGCGATTAGTCTTGCCCAGGTCGCGGCTCTCAATGTTCCTGGCGCGCGCTTCGAACTTTGAAATGGAACGTTTCGATGTAGAATTAGATGAACAATAGGTCAGGTTAGATCGGGTTGCACAGGACGGAAAAGGCTTTCGCCAACCGAGCGTCAAGATTCTTGCTTCGGTTGGAAGGTTTCTTCTCCTAAAGCTTCAAAAATGGTTTCAGTCACTGTCTTGCAACTGTTTTGCGGCAGGAAGCTGGTTCCGGTACGATATCTGTAAGGGAGATTAATTGGAAAATAAATAGCAAGTCAACTCTAAACAATCTCAGACCCCGCTTCTATTCTACCTCTGGGTATATTTTGGTTCAAACCCTGTCTAACTGCCTCTTGAAATCGACTATACTCGCATAATCCATCAGGTGAGGTGGTAGCTGATTCCATCTATCAACCACTCGGTTCGTGTAGAAGTTAAACCGCACGCCGAGGCGAGCCCTTGGTTTTAAGAGCTTTGAGCTTTGTCCCATGGTGGCCTCTACGGGCGCTCGGGCGAACAAACCTTCGGTGCTTACGGCGGTGAATCCTTTCA